TTCTGTGAGGGATAAAAGAACACAGCTTAGGTACAGAGCTCTCTGATTATCTGGCTCAACCAAGACTAAAACTGAGAATATTTAGAGCAGGCAGGCTTGCCCAGTTGTTACTTGGATGATCATTCAAGTAGCCAGCAGCGGCAATCGGTAAAAGATGTGGCATCGTACATCAGCTATTTGATCAATCTGCACTTACCTTCTAATTAATAATACAGAGTTTCTGGTTGTTGATTTTTTTTTTTTAATGTTCAGCTTAGAGCTTGTAGATTAAATGAGCCTGAAAACAGAATGGAAGCGTTAGGACCGCTTCCCACTGCGATTGGATGGCACGTTCACCAGCGTTGGCAGGAGCAGGAGAAACAACTGCAGATAATGCTTCAAGAGAAAATCTCTAATTATTCTAACAAGTAAGCATTTTAGGCAGCTGCATTCACAACAGAAAGAAACAAACTCTGAAAAATCTATCAAGTAGCAAATTTCAGTATAAATGTTCATCAGGAACATTTTTCTTTTCAATTAACTTTTCATAAATGCCTCCTTTGTGCTGAGTATTCTGCTAGGGAGTTTGGAAAGGCTTCAAAGTTGGTGTTAGTGATTAATTTTTTCAAAATATTGCTATAGTTGTTTAGTTTGAATTGGAACCTATGCTTAGTCGGCTTTTGATTACTCATTTAAAAAAACAAAAAAGTATTGAATATGTCCTTTCTGAGGCTAGAGAGTGGACTAAAAAAGTAGTACATTGAAAAACTCTCCTAGTTCTATCATTACTTTTATCCCAAAAAGCTGTCATTTTTTACTGAACTGCTTTTGGTAAATCATACTGCTGCTAGAGTAGCTGTGTCTAATTACAGCTCTTACAAGTGCAGAGCCTAGAAATGGAAAGTAAAGCACTCCGAAATTTAGAGGAATGGTGGTTTTTCCAACCCATTGATTAACCCTGGGCTATAAGTAGGGCCTGGAATGCTAATTGTTCATAATTTCCACCCTAATGTAAATAATTAAAATTACCTTGCCTTAAAAAAAAAAAGGCATGGGGTTCCTGATTGACATGTGCTTAACTAATTCTCACCCTAGTATAATGAAATGTTAATTTCAGTTCTGTCGAGGTAACCTAGAATCCTCACCGTGGAAATTGAAGGCTTTATTGCTGTCCTTGGGGAAAGAGATGAAAGTTGAATGGGTCACTTTCCAAGGACAGAATCTTTACTTTACACAGAGGCCTTTGTAAGCTAGTTTGGCTTTTGTCCCTTTGTCTGTGGTCTGCAGACAGGTACATCGTGAAAAGTTTGCTGCCCTTGAGAAAGTTACACATGTAACAGATGCATAAAAGACTAGAGTACCCACAGTATTGAATTGCCTACTGGATTCTAAGTATCTTCAGAGTGAAGACCCTGTTTTGTTTCTGTATTCATTACTTAGTAAGTAACTTTGTTTTGCTCAAAGTTATTGTGTTAAATCATGAGTCGTGGATATGAGCTTGTTGAGCTCTATCATGTTAGGGAGCACAGGCAAGTTTAGATTACTCTTGGGTGGATGAGGCTTTTTGGTAAGAATATTCAGGAAGGTAAGGAAGACAGGAAACAGTCCCAACTGCTACACCGCCAGACTTCATGGAGATCTGGAACGGCATTCAGGATATTGCACAAGTTCAAGCACTGGCTCCCATCATCTGTTTTTATCACTGTTCTATCCCCCGCACCTCTGTCACGTGTAAATGCTCAAGTACAATTAATGAATGAACTTCACATACTGAGCTCCACTGTATCTGTCTGCTGTCTTTCCCCCGTTTTCCCAGCTACTGGTCTATCAACACGTCTTTAGTTTACCTTAAACCTTCGCTGCCTCATGGCTTCTGCTGATTTGCTTCTCTCTGTATATCTTTCCTTTTTTATGCCATTTCCATGTGTGCAGATTGTGTATCTTTCATTCACACTGCCGAAGAGATTGTGGGAAGGGGCGGGGTGGAGTAGAGGACTGAGCAGAAAAGTAAAAAAAAGAAAAAAACTCATCGGCAAGGGCAACAGTGTGGTGATTGCTGTCGGGGGTGGGTTAAAGGGGATACTTGGTGATGGACAGAGACTTGACTTGGGGTGATGAACACACAATACAGGAAAAAAACCTAATCTACGGACCTATTCAGATTCCTCAGTTTTCCCAGTATTATCTTTTTTTCTGGCCCAGGATCTAATATAGGATGAAATGTCCCATTAAATTGCCGTGCCTGCTAAATTTTCTTTCGTCTGGGTCAGTTCCCCAGTCTTTCTCTGTCTTTCATAATCTTGATAGCTTTGAACTTTTATTTTATAGAATCTCCCTCAGTCTGGCTTTGCCTGATGTCTCCTCTTGACCGAGCTCACTGGGGCAGGTACACAACCACAATGTGCTGTGCCCTGTCTGTGGGTCATATAGCAGGAGGCACACAGGTCACTGCGCTTATTGCTGGCCATGTTCACTTTGATCACTTAGTCAAGATAGTGTCTTTCCATTTTCCCGCTGTGAAATTATTTTTCTTTGTCACTGAGAATTATCTTTTGGGGAGAGACATTGAGACTATGTAAGTGTTCTGTTACAATACAGTTTAATAAATATACAGCAACCTGCCAAAGAGAGGAGTTCTGATTGGATGGACAGGTCACTGCCCAGTAGGGGCACTGGCACTGTCTCAGACCGAAATGATTAGGCTTGCGTGGGGGCCTTTGTTCGGGGGGCTAGCCCTGGCCAGTTCCTCTCAGTCACTGGGTGTCAAGAATCATCTTGCTTGTAAGAGGAATGGGGTTATGGCAGACACTTAGAATGTTATTCCCATAATAATAAATTAAGAGTCCAGTTGGTATCCAGGTTGGATTCTAAGGTATGGAGAATACTATGGCAGGCTAGTTCATTGTCACTTTCCCAGAATTTGGCACAGAGCTTGGTACACAGTAGGCAGTGAGAAAATGCTGGCTGAATGAAGGCTGTAAGAAGAGGAAGTACTTTGATCTCACATGCATCTGGGGCCCAATGGGAAAGGTTAAAAAAAGTAAGGCAGACACACTCGAGCAACTCATCCTGCGGGTGAATCATTGAAGTCGGTGGCAAACCACATAAGGCTGCTAATTAGAGAAAGCTCAAATCCAGAAAAACTCCTTCCTACCTCACTTTTGCATTGTGTTGGAAAGCGGTGAGTGACATGGAACTTCTGTTGGGTGAGCGGATTTTGCCATTACAGTGGGGGACTTGCCCCAGGCCACAAATCCCAGAGTTCTTTTTTCCCCCGTGGAACTGTCACCATCCTAAAAGGCACCATAGAAATCCTTTAGAAGAGGAGCTGTTCCAGGGATTTGTTGGGAGGGCTGCAACATGTTAGCGTGTTAAAACTGAGCCGGAAGTCTAATTAGGAGGCTTTCCAGATTGTTAAAAAAAAAAGAGCTTTCCTATAGATAAAATTCTTTGATGTCTGCTTTCCTTTTCCATCATCACGTATTCAGTCACTAACACCACCACTCATAACAAGGGTGAAATGGGTTCTTTCTTACCGCCAGCTATTTTTTTACATTATTTTATTGTTGTTAAATTACAGTTGTCTGTGTTTAGACCGCACCACTCCCCCTGCCCTGCCCCATATTGCCAACTGTTTTTGACTAATGAGGATTAGAATTAAGGAGAATCGTACTTGGTTTTATTATGAAGGGTCGGGCTAAAGTTCTTTGTGGCTGAACATTCGGGTCTCACCATTTGATTCGTGTGGTGGCATCAGGCACCTGCCACTCTGCATTGCATGTGTCAGGGTCTCAATAAACACTCACTGACTTGAATTATCGATGTGAATTAATAAGGCCAATGTTGTAGGTTATTTAACATGATTCCGTTTCGTTGTCAGAGACGTCACCCTGAACCTGGGAAGACTGTCTAATGTTTGTCACCTTGCCTCCAGCTGAGTAGGGGGATGTGGGAGTAATGTCGAGGACTCGCACAGATTCACGGCTGTCTCTGGAGAACACCAGGCGGCCGGTGTGCTCTGTGACAGTAAAGTCAGGATGCTGTGTTGGTTCAGGGCAGGTGTTAGAGTCACAAAGACTTGGGTTAGAGCTGGCTCTGCCACTTCACAAGGTGACTTCAGGCAAGTCACCTAAACCCCATCTAAGCCTTGGTGCCTCACCTGTAAAGTGGAAGGTGCAGGAGCACCTGCCTGTTTCATGGAGGGTTGTGATGAGGTGTGCAGCAGTACCTCGGTGTTTGTCAGTAATGTGTTCCGGAACTCGGGACCAGTGCTGAAACCGGCAAGTCCTGAACAGTCGAGCATTTTCTCGGGGTGGGGGGGCAGCATTGTGACTCATTAAAATTCTAGCAAGTGAGACAAGTCCCGAGCAAGCGCCGCGTGCTGAAACATTCTTTTCTTGTCAAAGTACCATTCTGAAGCTGATGAGTACCGAGGCATGACTGTAACTGAGATCACTCATTTGAAAGCTTTCCCACATGGCCTGGCGCGGAGGGAGCACTTGGAAACTTTGGCTGGGATTGTTGTTATTGCTCTTGTTGTCAAGAGTGTTGTTTGGAAAAATGTAATTCTTTTTGACAATATTATATGGTATCAGATAATTCAATACAAATGGAATAAGTCTTTATTTTCCAGTAATAGAAACTCAGCCATATACTTTTTTTAAGTAACAGTTTTGCGCACCAACAATTAGGAGCGGAAGAGATATGCTTTATGTCTCTGTAGTGCACACTGACCACCAGCAAGCTTACAGCGTCTGCTCCTCTACCTAGGACCAACAAAGTGTATCTTGATCTGTAAGTTCAAGATCTTTTTCAGCTAAATACTTTCTAAAATGTATGAAGACATTTCTGGGAAGGTATTTGATACATCCCACATAGAAAGAACTCACTGTCTTTTCACGGAGGGATTTCTGGGGATGATGACTGCCTTAGAAGTTTCTCAAACATGATCATGGAAACTCCCGGTGAGGTGGGCTGGTGTCTGAGGGGCACTGACGCGTTCTCTGGTTCCGCTCCTGTAGGTGAGACGGGCATCGGCAAGTCCACGCTAATGGACACTTTATTCAACACCAAATTTGAAAGTGACCCAGCTACTCACAATGAACCAGGAGTCCGGTTAAAAGCCAGAAGTTATGAGCTTCAGGAAAGCAATGTCCGGCTGAAATTAACCATCGTGGACACTGTGGGATTTGGAGACCAGATAAATAAGGATGACAGGTACGTGCTGGGAGTTTGTGGGGATATAAATGGATGAAGCAATAACAGAACCCATCCCTGGTAAAATCAAAGGCTGATTATGGGGGTTCACTGATTATGGGGGCTAGTCCAACTCTATTGCCTAAAAGATAAGACATGCGTGTCCTCTGAGAATCTTCTCAGAATGAAAGTTTCTTGAGGTCAGAATCAACTAGTGGAGTTGATTTCAGCTAGTATAGGCAGCAAAGGGGTTTATTAGAAGGAAAAGGGTAACTTCGGATATTTTTCCAGGAGAACCATAATCAGGTTGGGGGGATTTCCCATCAGGAAAATCAACCTAGAGAAACAGAAACACACAACCACCCGACAGAACAGTTTGCAGACACCCTGCCACTGACCACCTTACACAGTTTTGGTGCTGGGACCCCGGGGCCAGGTCTCTAGAACGGCCACCGGATCTGCCCCACAGAACCAAACGCCTCCCCCGTCGCTTGCACGAAGAGCCCTGTCCCAGCGTGGCTTCTGCCTTGGGCTGCTCCTGAAAACCCAAAGGGAAGAAAACATTTTTATGAAACGTGTGTTGGGAAGATCTTAGTTTCTGGCTGGCTATTTTAAATATTACACTTTATCTCAAAAAAAATTTTTTTGAGGAAGTTAAAATAAAACTGGCCGGAGGATTCCAGAGGGGGCTTCCAGAGACATTTTTGAGCAGTGACAGCATTGTGGGAATAAAACACCACGTCCGTGACTTATCGCATGTTTGCTCAGGGCTCAGAAACTGCATTAGCACCAGGGTTTTCTCTGTGTATGTGTTTTTTCTGTTTTTGTTAAAATTGTGTATATTATATACATGTGTTTTGTTAAGAGGAACTTGAACTATTTTAGCTAGACGTGTATCTTGCCTAGATATACAGGGTGGGGTGAAAGTAGGTTTACAGTTGTTCATATGGAAAAATAATACAATAATTAGTAAATAATAATACAAGAATAAACTGTTGGGCATTCCCACAACTGGAAACCGACTTTTGCCCCACCCCGTATTTTAACTGTCCCTGATATATGTGAGCACCATGGTAGTGATAGAGAAACACTTAATTCATTATGTAGCTGAGCACTGAGCTCTATTTTATCTATAGAGCAACTTAAATGCTCTTTCATAAACATTGTCCTGTAATAACAGGAGAAATTGTTAGATATAGTGAGAGAGATTTTAGTTTGCATCTGGTCAAAATGGACTATCTGTACATTGTGTGGGGGTGGGACGCAGCTGAGCTCAGGCCCTGCAGCTGAACAGTCGCTCTTAATTTATGACCTCACTGCCACAGTGATGGAGAGGGTACTGCCTGAAGGCTGTTTGCAATGTCAAGGGGAATGGATGAAGAGAAAACCCTGGCGCCAAGGAAAAGAGCACCAGTGCATTGTGGGAGCCCAGGAAAGAGCTGGGGGCTCCCGGTGTTGTGCTCACTCAGAGCGAGGCGGATCTGCCCCTCTCCGACCTGGACTGGGCTAGAGAACATCGTGTGTGTGCACTCCGTTCGGAAGGCAGCCCGTGGGCCTTTCCAGGATGTCTTTCCGTGGGAATGAGAACCCTCCTCCAGCATCTTGTTGCCACGGTTCCACATGCTGTTCCAGCTCAGAGTCATTGCCTCCACGCTGCCATGAGATTTTTGCCTCTTGCCCAAACGGGGGCTTTCTATCAGACTGGGGGGTTGCACATTCATCGGCACTGAACAGCAAGTGGCTAGTGCAATACCCATCCTTCATAATTGCAGCTGGCGGCTTCTTTAAGAAATTATCTGACTCATTTGGGTCAAATAATAGTTTCCAAGGAGATTTAGAAGAGAGGAAGTGTGATATTAACTTAACCTAGATACCAGGTATTTTTTTCCTTCTGAAATTTCTTGACAGCTGTTGCATAACCTCTTGAAGTGGCATTTAGAACTCTGTGCCCCAGAAGGAGGGCACTGTTGACACTATTGACTAGAAACTGAAATGACTATTGTTTAAAATAGTTATGCAGAGAGACCCTGCATCCATCAAGAAATTGGAAATGGGATATGCATTTTTGCATTGATATGTAACCATATGGTAAAGGATGTGCTGTTTCTCTAAGCCCATGATTATTTTACTACTTTGGGGATTAAGCAAGCTTTTCTGCCATTGATGTAAGACGCCAAGAATGTCCCAGTTTGTTTATGTAGGCTTCGGACATGTCAGCATTCCTGCATCATTATCTGCCTGGGACCAGGCTAGCTAGAAGGAGGCAGGAAGAGAGATCTGGTAAGGTTTCCTGTTATGTTTAATAGTGTGATTAACTCTTGGTGGTTTAAGGGCTTCCTTGTTTTGCCGTCTGTACCCTTCAGTGAAGAAGGAAGGAAAGGGGTCTGGAGAAGAAGGTAAAGCAAGTTTTGCTGTAGAACTGGAAATTAAATAATTAGCCCTGCATTTGGGAGAGGGAGGTAGACTGTCAATGGCTTATCAGTAACTCTAATGATAATCAGCCCTGAAAAGCATGGATGATTGAAATTCAGTTAGAGAGAACCCTCAAACTCACCAAACCTTCATCAGAGTTATAAACATGGAATTGAAGTAGACTGGTCTTTGAACTCTAAGTTGTTGTTTTTCTCCCATACACTTTGGTGGAGGTAGTTGAGGGGTAAGGCATATTGACCAGGGCTAACATAACAAGGTAGAGACAAATCTATGGGAGGCGCCTGGTCGCATACGAAGTGGAGAGTCAGCCCCTGGATGACAGACGGCATTGGCTGTTTTGCAAGAATGATCAGCGTGTGGATTGGGTGGATAGAAAACATTGTATAAATGTTTTTTCCATCAGTTTCAGCATCAGACATGTCTCATCTTACTGTGTTTTTAATGCTTGGAGGTGTATGAGAAAATGAGTGGTGGATAAAAGGGAGTATCTCAATGCCATAAAAGGAAATTATGTGAAAATGTAAGGGCTAGATAAGATCCCCCCCATTTCCTCTGATTTATATGGCTGCAATCCAGAGAAGTTTGAATTGGCCAAAAGGAATATAAATAGTTGTCCTTTCTATAGGAATGGAAACTAGCAAAAGGCAAAATCGGGATTTAGTGTCCTTATCTTTATGGCTGTGCTGATAGCAAGAAGTGGAAAGGCGTAGGAGAGAGGGCAGAGGATTTGCTCACAGGATTGTGAAGGGGAGTATCAGCCGCTCTACTGGCTTGTTATGCATCAGAAGGAAACTATTTCATCAACATAATTAAATCTTTGACAAGGAAAAATGTGATTTTAGTAAAGAGTTCTCCTGGAATACATTTTTTATTAATGTATAATGATACACAAAATGGGTGGGATTTTATGTGTGGGAGGTAGGAGGGGGGATCTCTGGGTTGAATCCCAGGCTTCAGACCTGACCAGTGGTGTGGGTGGAGGTGCCGTTCACTGTGCTGAGGACCCTTGCGGGTTTGGCAACAAGGTGGAGTTTGATTTTGGACTCGTTTAGTTAGGAGAGCAGACTGAAATATCTGGTAAACAGATGGATGAGTCTGAAGCTCAGGTGAAGAATGTGGGCTGGAAGAGGCGGATTGTGAGTCATCACTGTCAGACAGCAGGTGAGGCACAGGAGTAACCGCGATTGTCCAGGGCGACCGCACAGAGGGAGCAGGAGGCAGGCAGACTGGTCAGGACACTGTAACGGGAAACCAGAGATGTAAGGGAACAATGAATCCAGGGCAGAAAGCATCTCTCACTTGAAAAGAAAAGATGTTCTACCTTCCAGAATCTTGGAGGATCAGAATCAAAACCAGAGGCAAAGAGGGAAATTAATGGAAAGCAGAACATACTTGGGCAACTGCTGGGGAGGAGGTGCTGAGAAGCAAATCAGGAACTGGGGAGGAGACCAAAAGGATCGACTGCTGTGAGCTGCTTTTCCTCTCCTTGGGGCTGCGAGGGTGTCGGGGGAGCTCCCCAGTCTCTCCGTGTCGGGAGACTGGGGAGACTGAGGATCGGGCCCTGGGCCGTCCAGGAGGTGCACTTCCCGACCCACCTGAGCTCAGCAGCGGAGCAGTTGCCATGGAACCGGGTGGGGGTAAAGTTCTCTTTTTTTCTCAGTTTTTTAAAAAGTCAGGCTTGCTTTTGTTGTATTTGTTATTTATTATATTACTGTGAAATAGTTATATCTTACTTTAATCAGCTAGTCCTTTGCATATATTAGCTCTCTCACTGTCACAGTAGCTCTCTGATACAGATACTGCTCTTGTCGCTGGTTTACCTAGGAGGAAACTGAGGCACAGAGAGATTCAGTAACGAGCCCAAAGTCATCCAGCGAGCAAGCTGCAGAGCTAGATTTTTGTCTTGGGTGCTCTGGTCTGAATCTCTGCTTCTCACCACCATCCCATACAACTACCCTATGATGACACTGCTTATTACTATTGTTATATAACACCTGCCTCTATTTTAAAATCGGAGAACATAGAAGACTCATCATTTGCTCATTCTTTACTTTGGCATTTTCATGATTTGGAACTTTTTAGTACTATTGCTGAGGCACCTTCTACTTCCTTTTTTAAACCTCTGGAGACATTGTCTGCTTAAAGTTTGTTTGTGATAAGTTACCAAGGGGAAATGTCATCAAAAGCTTTTATCTGATGGCTTTGGTTTGAGTTGTAAATTTGTTTGACTTTGTTTGGTTTTGGTTTTGCTTTGTAGTTTGTTTGTTTTTTCTCTTAAGGTGTCTGCTGTCATCTTCATTATAAAAGATTGGTAGTTCCCCTTCAAGGGTTTCAGTTAATTCATAGCCCTGGGATTCAGTGTTGGAAGGATTCTCTATTTCTCAAAGCTTAAGTCATTGGTCAGCAGTGTAGCAAGGTTGAGGAGAACTAACCTATTGTATTCCTCGTAGACCGACCTCATTGCTGCTGACTCCGACTTCCCTTGGAGACCTGAGAGAGGTCAGGGCTTATGTGGTGACCTAACGTACCACTTAATCTCCAGAGAACATGTGGTTTATTGAATAAGTATTCTCAAAATGCTATTAATGGTTGCATTTATGGTCAGTTAATAGCATCATCATACATAGTAATCCAAAAAAGATTTGAATTATGATTTGCTGAGAAGAGAAGGTTATAAAATTTATCTTTAAATCATAAAATTTTAAATCCTAAAATTATCTTTAAATCATAAATTTAGAATGCTGAAGACCACAATGGTCCAGGCACTCTCATTTATAGCTGCAATCGTGGAACGTGCACAGGGCTTTCCGCGAGAGCACAGAGAGCCCCGCGCCTCTGCAGGCACAGCCGAATGCCCGGCCAGGGAAGGGCTCCCAGCAGGAGGCAGCGCCATATCCCGAAGTCACAAGCCAGTTTTATTTTGCGCACCGATGTCAGTCAGTTGGTGCAAGCTGTCAAAACCACCGTGTTGGGACAGATTTGGAGGCTCCGTTTTGCCCCAGGAGGAAAGACTGCCACAATCTCTTAGCAGTATCTTCGCGGGCTCCCCAAGGAAAATGACAGCATGCCCCATGTGTTTATAATCTCTGTGTTAAAGGATGGATGTTAGCCAGGAAAATAATAGGAAGAAGACTGTTGCAGGTACAGCGGCTAGATGAGCAGGACATGGAGGCAGAGCTTGTTGTGCTTGGCTGGGACGGCAATGGTGAGCCCGGGGCAGTGGGGAAAGGGCGCCTGGAGAGGTGTTCAGGGGCCAGAGGACAGAGGGCCTGGGACACTGTAGAACTGGGGCTTCGGCTATCAGGGAGGAGAGAACATTGCAGACTTCCCTGGGGCGCTGTGCCACGTGGACCTGCGCAAACAGTGTGTGAGTAGAAACATGCAGACCTGAAAGTGTGTTTTAGAAAGCGTTCTTCTGCATTCTAGCTATAAGCCAATAGTGGAATACATTGATGCCCAGTTTGAGGCCTACTTGCAAGAAGAACTGAAGATCAAACGTTCTCTGTTCAACTACCACGACACCAGGATCCACGCTTGCCTCTACTTCATTGCCCCTACTGGACATTCGCTGAAGTCCCTGGACCTGGTCACCATGAAGAAGCTGGACAGTAAGGTACTCACTGCCACTCTGGCCCCCTCCACTGTACTGGCAGATCACCTTTACTTGAAAGCCCCAATTTATTCTCTCCTCTTATTGTAATTTGTTTTTTTTTTTAAAGACAATTTTTTTTTAGAATAGATGTGGGTTCACAGCAAAAATTAAGAGGGGGAGGTACAGAGGTTTCCCTATACCCCCTGCCCCGGGGCATGCACAGCCTCCCCCACCAGGGTGGCACCCTGATGAACAGCATCGATACACCACAATCCCCCAAAGTCCGCAGTTTACATTAAGGTTTACCCTTGTTGTATATTCTATGGGTTTGAACAAATGTGTAACAACTTGTATCCATCATTATAGGATCGCACACAGTAGTTTCTCTGCCCTAAAAACCCTCTCTGCTCTGCCCATTCATCCTTTTACCCCTCCCCTCAAACCCATCATTTGTGTTTTCTGGTTTATAGAACCGCAGGTCTGAGCAATGTGAGAAAAATGCTTCAAAACCTGTCTAGATGTTAGGAGAAAACAAAACACACGAAACAAACAAACAAAGACATGTGGCTTTGCTACAAAGTATTTTTAGTTCTTACATTAGCATCAGTGTATGCTCTGGTGAAGGTTGGGGAATTACCCAGTGGAGGTAGGAAAGGGTCATAAGGGTCATAAGAGCCGCACCCACGTGTTGGAAAGAAGTCTGAGTTTTAGTTTGACCCCTGAGCTGTCGTCACTGATAACCTACCTCTCTCTTTCACAGTGCTGGAAGGAAGAGACTGATAAGTTTGATAACATTTGATAATACACTTTTCGGTTAATTTTTCATTGTGACATAAACAGAACATAAATACGTTCTGAAATAAATCAGCAGCCAACGAGAACAACCACAAGATGAAGCTATGGGATTTTCTCCTAGATTCTAACTTCCTTTTGAGTTCAGTAAAAAGTCTCATCTTAGAAGGCTTTGTTCGGTATCTTTTTTTTTTTTTTTTTTTTTGTCCGAACAGTTGTGTTGTAGAATATGCTTCTCTCCCGAGAGGCACCATAGTGCGAGGACGCTGAGAAGGTCAGCCCGTCCCCGGGCCGCCGTCTGAACCGGCCCGCGCAGGTCCTGCGGGGGCCCGAAGCAGGGCCGGGCTCCTCGGCCTCCCGCGCCGGGTCACAGAAGAACATTCCTCGGCCTGAAAGGGTCTTTGCAGCTGGAGTGCTGTTGGGGGAATACATAGAAACCCTCCTTCGTGTCATTGGATCCGGCTGCAGGAGGCCGTCCGTGGGGGAGCACGCTGGGCACTGAGGCCGTCCCCGTGCTGTCCTGTCCCTGAGAGTCCATGGGAAGGACGGAGAGACGGTGGCTTCCTCACGGAGGCCCAGCGATAGGCCACGTGAGGCTAATATCCAACAGAGGACTGTGTGTGTTTAGTAGAGCTGATTTAAAAAGGAAAAGAAAACAAGGCAAAACAAACTTAAAAAGTAGCTTAAAAAAGAAAGTCACCATAAGGCAAGTTAAACTGCGTTCAGACAATGGATACCGTCATCAAGTCAGTGCTAGGGAGCACCTGAGAACGGAATCGTCAAAGGTGCCTTTATACAGGTAAAGTGAAGGGTTAAGGCAGATATACGATCATTTCAGGAAAGGTCGGCAAGTACCCCCCACTGAGGAAAAAGAGACCTTAAATCTAAATTGCCTGGTTTGTCTCTCTCCTCTGATCAAATTGTCAGAAAACAATGACCCTCTACCCTTTTGTCTGTGCGGATATCCACTGAGTATTCACCGTGTGCAAAAGACAACCCGTATGAACAACCGGGACGTTTTTGTTCCCCTGGTCCTGACCCAAACGTGCCCCCCACTGTCACGGGTGCGTCTTTTGTCTGCTGTGTGCTGGAGGAAGCCCAGGCCGGACGAGATCGGGAGTTGGTTGAGGAATAGGTTTTTCTATCAGCATGTCTTCTCATTCTGGTTTACCGGGGATTTTTGATTGGGCTCTTGGGATAAAAGGAGAAGCAGAGGAATGCAGACATGACCTGGAAAAGCTCTTCAAAGACTCTCTTCCCTGGCCTGACTGCTTTCTTTCAGAGCTGGCCCCTTTTCGCTGAGCGGGGGCAGGTTGGGGCAGGGTGGGGCAGGGAGCATGGCCCCAGGTACTGGATGACAGCAGCATCTATGGAAACCTCTGTGCCTACCAGAGAGGGGAAGAAAGTTAACTTTAAAAACGCATCCTGTGGACAGTGCCGGCAGCAGCTGGGAGACTATCCCACCTTGGGGTCTGGGCTCCCCCTGCAGGACACCCTTAGCTCTTGTTGCGGCCATCTGCCCAACTCCCAGTGCTCCCTGGTCTCTATCACCCTTGCTCTGAGAGCAAGCCCAGCCTTTGGCACTGGGTCTCATTCTGGCACGAAGGAGTTCTGGGAGCTGACTTTCAAAGGAATTAGTAGGTGTGATTTTGAAAATTATTAAAGTAGGTAAAACCATTTTTGTTCTGGTTAATACCGAGGTGCTCTTCTCCTGGCAGTTTTCAGGTTATCAGAAGAAAGAAAAGATGTTATCCTGCGTGGAGCTGAATATTCCACTGATCTAACTACGGAAGACTTTATTATTATACTGCGAGGAACATGCAAAAATCAGTTCCTAAAGGAGCTGGGAGGGTCCTCAAAGGAGTGGTTGCTTATTCAAAGAATAGCTTCTTTGTTATCGCTATTTGTCATGGAGTAGCACTTCCTTTTACTCGGTAAAGAATGAGGTGGCCCAAGAGAGGAAATTACAAGTGTGCTTTCAGTGCAGATGGGAGGAAGTAAAAGTGTTCGCAGACAAAACCAAAAGATTATCCCATGTCTTCCTAATTTTGCATCTAAGTCAAAAGTCCCATTTTAAATATCTTTTAAAGTGTAGTTTTATAATCTGTATTTATGTTTGCTATGTTTTATTCATTCGTCTAATTATTTTCCTTACATGGGAATTGTGTAAAAATGGAAGTGTCTGTTTTATAGGTGAACATCATTCCAATAATTGCAAAAGCTGACACCATCGCCAAGAACGAATTGCACAAATTCAAGAGTAAGATCATGAGCGAGCTGGTCAGCAATGGAGTCCAGATATATCAGTTCCCCACAGATGAAGAAACCGTGGCCGAGATTAATGCAACCATGAGTGTAAGTCCTCGAGTAAGGAAGGACCGACCTGTGATGTTCCTGAAGGCTTGTCTCAGTGTCGGCCTTGCAGAGCGGCCGGAACACTGGCAGGGAACCCACTGTCTTCAAGGTGGTCTGGCTCTGCCGCTGTTTCAAGTCACGTGACCACCCTGCGGCTCCGTGTTCCCGTCCACCAAATGGGAGAGTTAGAATGAGATGATCTCAAATTTCCTTCCCACTCTAACAATTACGATTTCTGTAGCAAATCTTGTGGAAAGGGAGTGCCAGCCCATTTCCATTTCCCATAAAGCAGCCTAAAGGAAATAGGTCTCCACTTGCTTGTGCCAGGGTTGGCAGAAGCACATCCGCCTGCCTCACTTTGGCTTCTGGGACTGGTTCCTGCCTTTTCTGTTTTCCCCACCCTTTCCTGAAGTATTCGGTAAACCGGCAGCTGAGGGTGTACTTCCCGCATCACAGGGAGGAACGGGTCAGGAGATCAATGACTACACTTCAGTCCAAGTGTGCCTGTGATAGGGTCTCTCCTGGTGAGCCCCTGCCTGCGAGCTGATAGCCGCAGCCTCCCCCCACTGCCCTGGGTATCTGAGCCACAGGGACTCCACGCACCTTTTTTCATTTGGGAATGCACAACTTCTGTAAAAGCAGCATTCTTTTCGAGTTGTTGATGTTTGGTAAAGCTCTTTGGAATTCTTACAATTGTAGGTTACCTTCAGTGAAATGTAATTAGAAGCCACGAAAGAATTTGGCCTTATCTAAATACATGCTAAAAATTGATTCAGACGTGTGCTAGCGGCAGTCTGAAGTTTTAAATTTGTGGAAGGTTGAGGTATATTCTACTCTTGTTAGGAGATCTGAACATGAAAACTTGTGTCTAATCATGCCATTGTTAAATGAACAAATGACATTTTAAAAAAATTAATAGCCCCATTGAGATATAATTGATATACTGTACAATTCAGTGGTTTCTAGTGTATTCACAGACTTGCACAACCAATGCCACAAACAATTTTAGAACATTTTCATCACCCCAAAAAGAAACCATGTATCTTTTAGCTGTTAATTCTCTAGCCATCTCAACCATAGGCAATCACTCATCTATTTTCTCTTCTCTACATTTGCCAATTCTGGACATTTTATATAAAGGGAGTCACACTGAAGTTCATCTGGAGAATTAGATGACTTGGTCAAGGCCATCTAGTTAACCACAGCTTTGAGATTTCAGCCCAGCCCTCAGGCCTTCGGGCCCCCAGTCCTGCTCATGGCCTGATGCTCGCCACCGTAATTTAGGAGATCAGAGTTACTCACAAAACTGCCTCTTGTTTCTTCAGTTTGGCCTGTGGACTTTCCTACAGAGGGCTATTTTCATATAGGGAGGATTTCCTCCTTAAATTAATCCCAGTATGACTAGGACTTTGGGAGCAAATGTAAGTTTCTTCCTCTCGGGGGCTGTTATTGTATGAATTTAAAATGCAGGGATCTTGTTAAGGCAGAGATTGTCCTGCTCCACTCTGTCCTGTTCTGGTCACACTCCGAGTTGCATGACCCGCTCTGGCTGTCCTCCTTCTGTGGCTGGGGTAGTAAAGGCTCTGGAAGAAACTGGAGAGCTGAGTCTTTCTGGGAAGTAGGTGTGAAGGCGTGTGAAAGGAAGGTTGCCCTAAGGGAGAATGACTGGACTTATTCTAAAGACAGAACCAAACCAAATGGGCAAGAGAGCAGGGAGGGGTTTGGGCCGGTAGGAAGTTTGGCTGTCGGCACCACCGCAGTACAATAGACACCCACGGAAGTAGCGGGTCCCGTCACAAGTGGTAGGCAAACAACAAATTGTTTCAGCTCACTTAGGGGAGAGAACTTGGAGGGAACTCCTGTACTGGATCAAAGTGATACGTAAGGTCTCTTCCACCTCTAAAATTCTTTGGATCTGGGTATTGAGAGCTTCCTGATAATAGTAGCACCTGACATTTTTGGCATTTATGGAACCTTTACTCTGTACCCGGTACTGTTTGAGGCTTTATACTTTTTTAAATGATTTTATTTATTTGTTTATGTTTTAGAGAGGGGAAGGCAGGAAGGAAGAGAGGGAGAGAAACATCAGTGTGTGAGGGATACATCAATCGCCCACAACTGGGGACCTGGCCCGCAACCCAGGCATGTGCCCTTGACTGGGAATTGAACCAGTGACCTTTCCGTTCACAGGCCAGTGCTCAATCCACTGAGCCACACCAGCCAGGGCTCAAGGTTTTACACTTAATCTTTGCAATAATCCCATGAGGAAGCACTATTATTATTTCTACCTGACATATGGGAAACGGCAGCCATGCACCTAAGATTGCACAGATGTTGGCAGCAGAGATGGGATTTGAACCCAGGCAGCTTCGCTCTAGAGCTGACAGTCTCGCCCTTTATGCTGACTGCCACCCGAGCCAAGCAGCTGTGCCTGTTTGTACCCTTGTCCAAGACTTGGCCTCAGGTGCCACTTGTTTATTCCGCCATAGAACTGCAGTTTGGGTACCAATGTGGGGTTCAGGGAGGTACATGAATGAATCTCATGCGATGTTCTCTTTATATCTCCCCCTATTCTTTTAAATTATTTTGCACAGTCATGAAACTAAATTGTGTTAAGTTTCTTGGAAAGAAAATACCCATGAACCTTTTGCTTTCTTGCTCTCTTTATCAGATTAATAGAACTGAAGATCTTTGACATTCCCAAATTAATCTAGATCTTACCGAGAAATTTTCTTTAGGTCTTCATTGCAAACAACTTTGGGCGAGGAAATCCCGCATGAAACGTGGCAGCTGCTTGTCACTCAGTTTGAGCGGAGGCGGCACTTTCCTTCTTTGTCGTTACACCACAGTGTTGGCCCGAAGGGTCCTGTTGCTCCTCAGCTTCGGGGGACACATGTCAGTTCCCGACGTGGAGTTGGAGAAAGGGGTGGGTGTGCTTTCTGTCCTCCCCACGGAGCAGGAGGCGACCTCGACAGCAGCAGTGTCTAGAGCAGCAGAAAACGGGTGCCTCTCAGGCAGCCTGGGCCGAGGACTCTGCCGAGCTCTCTGTGGGAGAGGACTTGGCTTTCAAGCATTCTTGCCTCTCTCAGCTTATCTGTAGTGGAAGACAGCTGGATTTAGGGAATCTTTTCAAGTGTTCTTATTCTCATATGCTAATAGGAAAAAGACAGAATTGCTGTTTTCTCCCCAGAACATAGCCACAGCTCCCAGACAAATGAGCGAGGAACACTCAGCTGTCTCGAACACCATGGCTGCTGGAGATGAGGCTGGGTGCACGGCCTGGGCCAACAGTGGGGGCTGTGGGGTGTTTCTGACTTGAATTTTGTGAAACAGTCAGCTCTCTGAAGCAGTGCTGTTGAATAGAAATATAGTATGAGCCACACAAGTAATATGAGATTTTCTAGTAGCCACATTTAAAAGATGTGAAAAGAAACGTGAAATTAATTTTAAGAACTTATTTAACCCAATATTATCATTACATATAATAAATATAAAAATTACCGATGAGGTATTTTCATAGTAAGTCTTTGAAATCCAGCATATATCTGTACAGTTACAGCACACCCCCACTTGGATGCACACCCAGTCACTCCTCACATGCTTAAAAACTTTTAAATATAAAATAGGTTCCAAAAAGATAATTTCCCTTTCATCTTTGCATTTACATTGACAAAACTGGTTCTTCACTTTTCACAAGATCTGAGTCTGAAGCAAAGTGAAATCCAGTTTCTCAATCCCACCAGCCCCCTTCCAGATGCCAAGGGCCACATATTAGTGGCCACTGTCTGGCACAGCTTGTGTCTAAAGCTCCCTGCAGAGTGGCAAAGGCCCACGCAGCTTCCCCTTGGGTCTAGCTCTTATCAAGTATTCATCATTTGGGTGGGGGAGCGGGGGTGCAGGAAGCCCACCCCAGCTGGACTGCAGCGTCTCCCCCTCTTTTGCCTTCCCCAGTTTCTCTTGCCACCGAGCAGAGGCCAACAGAAGCGGGGAGAGTATGGAGGTGGGTGGAAAACTCGTCTGCCAGAGCCAGGGCGGGCAACTGCAGCAGGTCCTTGAGTAGTGTCATTTTGTTCAACGTCATGTCACCAGAACTTTGATGAGTGAAAAAAGGATGGATTTCTGGCCGGGGCCACGGTCTGCGTGGAGTTGTCACGTTCTCCCTGTGTTGGTGTGGGTTTTCTCCTAGGACTCCGGTTTTCCCCCCACATCCCAAGTATGTGCACGTTAGGTGAACTCACGTGTGTCTAAATTGTCCCAGTCAATTTGTCCACAGTCAAGTGTGGGTGTGAGTGTGCCCAGTTCTGTCTAGAGGGGGGTCCCTCCTGGTGTTCAGAGCTGCCAGGAGAGGTTCTGACCATTCTCAACCATGAACTAGAATCAGCAGGTTGGAATATAATGATCTTACTTGTTTCTATTCATCTTTCTTTATGTGTAGCTCACATATATTTCTCTATTTAGAAGTGTTTTGGGTCTTTCAAAGTTAGATGATGTCTTTGTGACCAGAAATATGCCATAGGAAATTAACACTTGTTGATATCAGTTAGACTATAGTAAAATGATTTCATTTTTTGGTTGTTTTGCTTGAAGTTGCCGTTTCTAAGAACCCATTGATGACATTAAGTGAGGACTCACTGTCTCTCTGTCCTTGTGTTGCTTGGCAGGTGCACCTGCCATTTGCAGTGGTCGGCAGCACTGAAGAGGTCAAGATTGGCAACAAGATGGCCAAGGCCCGGCAGTACCCGTGGGGTGTGGTGCAGGGTATGTGTATGACACAGGCAAGGGATCCTCCACACTTAACCCTGTGCCCGCCACCCACCTTTTTCTCTACCCACCGTGGCTGGGGAGGTCCTTAATCATGGGCAGGGTTGTACACCTGGCAGTCGTCAAGGTGGGAAGAAACAGTGACCAGGTAGGACAACGGTGATGATGGAAAGGAGTGACTGCAAAACCCTAGTGCCAGTGAGGCAGCCCCGAAAGAAGGATCGATTGCATGGGAAATTCACTAGAAATCCTGATAGAAAAGAGTCCCTCCCTAGGACTGTGAGCCAGTTTCATCAGTAAAGTATAAGAAAGCTGCAGAGAGTTTCTTGCAAGCAAGAGAATGGTTGTTTCTCCATGCTTGTTTGTCTCTGGAGATATTGTCCTCCAGGTAAGTGTTATCACAGTAAACGTCAGGGAATTAGGGGAACAGCGGACCTGTGTTTGGCACTGAGACAGGACCACAGTCTCCGACCTGAAGGAGCTTCCCGTGTGCCACTTGGATGGGCTAGGACTCTACACCTGCCCGTGTCGTGTGTTCTGCAGCAGGACCTGCAATGCTGTAGCTTAAGGATGGTCCCAGAAAGCTCCTTCATTGGTTTGAGATATGTGAGTCGTCTGCTGCTCTGTTCTGAATAAAGGCCATAAATCTGTGAGGAAAGAAAGAGATACCTTTGAAATCCTAGGAAAATTACAATTCTTACAAAGTTTACCAATGTCTCTATAAGAAAATATTCTTCATAGCATTGATCAGATTAAAGAAGATGTTATGGAAAAAAAGCCTTGTACAGCTCCAGACAGCATGGAGTGGTAGAAACAGGCCTGTCTTTGAAGCCAGACATCACAGTGTTTGAATTCAGATTCTGCTTCCTCTAACCGAGCAAAGCCATGCTTCCGTATCTGCAAAGCAAGAGTCACAGTGCCTACTTGGCAGAATTATTATGAAGAGTAAAGGCATCATTTGTATGTCTCTCTCCACAGTGCCCTGTGCTGAGCAGGCACTGGGCAGTCACTCCTGTCCTCAATACTATGGTCCATGTCGGAAATCTTGCCTTCAGTGGGGGAGTAAGGTCAATCTAGTAAGGGATCTTAAGGTGGCTTTGAGTCCTCAGAGATTTCAGGAGCATTGGTAACATGTTGGAAACATCACTTCCAATTTCAGTGATATTATTGCTGATAGCAGCCTCACCGCCCCCATTTCCCCTCTCCCCCATCTCTTACAGTTGAGAATGAAAACCATTGTGATTTTGTGAAACTTCGGGAGATGCTGATCCGCGTGAACATGGAAGATTTGCGGGAACAGACCCACACTCGCCATTATGAATTGTATCGGCGCTGTAAGCTCGAGGAGATGGGGTTCAAGGACACTGACCCTGACAGCAAGCCCTTCAGGTAGGAGGCCACATGGCAGTTGTGTGTTTCTAAGACAGTCTGTGTTTTGTAGTGCATCATAGAATTGCTTGTTGGATTGAAATATCAGGAGGGAAGCACCTACTAGGGGTAGGTTAAACGCATATATTGCTGGGCATTGTGATAACCACTTTATTTTTCATTTTTTCATTGTATTTTTTCCATCACCATTTAGTCCCTTTATACCTGCCTCCCCCCGCCGCAATCATCACACTGTCGTTCATGTTCATGAGTCCTTTTTCCTGTTCGCTCAATCCCTCTGCCCAGTAACCTCCCCCCAACCCCCACCAGAGCTGTCACCCCGTGTTCCCCATTCTCCTTGTTCAGTTTGTTCATTAGACTCCACATAGGAGTGAAATCATACGGTATTTGTCTTTCTCTGACTGGCTTATCTCACGTAGCATCATGTTTGCCAGGTCCCTCTGACAACCACTTTGTTTGCGTTATCTCAACTGTCAGTGCAGTTGATGTCATTCTCATCCTCAGTTTGCAGATGAGGAAACTGAGGAACTGAACGTGTAAGCAACGTTCCCAGGGTCCTACGAGTAGGAAGTGGGTGAGTTTTGAACGAGTGTTCTTCATCAGAGAGGCCCAGAGCCTGGCCCAGGCAGTTACAAAGGTGTGGCTGCTCCCTACAGTTTGCCTCATTCATTTTTGCCAAATAAGTTTGACTTCCCAAGACTGGCTCTTTTAGAAGTGTTCTACTAGGTTTGAGTGGCTCAATATACAATTCTAATAACACATGGCTAGGACAGGGGATAACTTGCAGAAAATACCTTATGGATTTTCCCTCGTCATTGATGGATGGCTATGAAGAGGCAAAATGTGAAGGGGAAACTATTGAAATCACTGTAGAATTAGAGGCTTAGCAAAGGCCCAGGCCATGCCAGAGCCCAGTGGGGGCCTGGGGGGTCTGCCAGGGCAGGGTACCTGGCTTGATGAAACATCAGTAGAAGGTGGGTAGTCAGGCCAGGCTCGCAGGAGGGCATTGCTTTGTCCGCACTGAGCCTTTGCAGTTTTTCAGTATAGATGTGAGGCGTGTCTGGGCTCTGGGTCTCCACCGACAGGTGGCCACAGGTCCTGGGAAAGACTGTTTTCCTCCTCCTTTGTGGCGAGCCCTGCAACTCACACTCTGCTACCTGGGGGCTGGTTGGCATGGCGCCAGAGGCAGGCCTGCGGGTGGTGTGGCAGACTCTGCCCTCTGGGATCCAAGCCTCCATTGGGGTGGCAGGGGGTTTATTTTCTTGAATTGCTACTGAGGTGGTTTGGTCAAGTCTGTGCTGGTCTCCTGATGCAGCACCTCAGTAGACTGCAGTGAGCCTGTGCGCGAACGTTGGCCGCAACAGATGGAGACCCCAGCAGAAGGTGACTTCTGGCCTAGTTTGCATCCTTTAGTCCCACGCTGGAGGCTTGTAACACTGGCGTTCTTCAGCCACCTGAAAGGTCACTTTCTGAGTCAAGGTAGAAAATGCCTTTTCATGCCAGCAAGTTTAGCTAACTGGACCTTGAAATGCATCAACCAAAAAAGATTCCCTATAAAATCAGGCCTGCTCTGTGGTTTCTGAACCTGGTGAAAAATGGATTTTGTGTGGGAGAGGCTGTCTTTATTTTTTCATGAAGGTTTTTTTTTCCCATGCATAGAGAGGGAACAAAAAAACTGGGATAAACTCGAACTCCTTTGGCCCTCTCCCTCCTCCAGATCTAGGCACGCAGGCAGGGCCTAAGAGCTTGTGCGAAGAGTGAGAAGTCTGGGTTCAAGTCTTGACCCTACTGTACTCAGCTCCTCAACCTGTCTGGGTCTCAGTGTCCTCCTCTGTAAAATAAGGAGTGGGGCAGACCAGGACACAGTCAGTTCTAGTAAAAGCACTGTCTGTATGACGGGCCAGGTAGCAACCCAAGCCGAGCTCCTGCCAGCCCCCCGACCCACGGCCCCCCTGCCCCTTTCTGGCTGGCGTTTGGAGTAGAGGGAAGGGATGCAGGACGCAAGTGGGGACCGGTCTTGTCCCTGCTTTCCTCCTGCGATGCCACTGCCCTGTGCCCAGCAGTGCCTGTCTGCACCACTCCTTCCTCACCTCAGAATACCCCTTCTCCTCGACTCCGCCTGTCAGGTCACAGAACGTGCGCCGTGACCACCCTTCCTTCGAGAGATCACAAAGTTCTCGGGCCCTGAGACATGTTTGTTGTTGTTGTCATTGTTGTTGTCGTTGTTAAGAGTGTGCAGGCCTCGGCTCGGCGACCGAGCAGTGCTGCGCAGTGGGCAGAGCTCCCCTCGGAGCCAGTGGCCTGGGTGCAGCTCCTGCTCTGTTGCTTCCTCATTGTGTGAACTGAACAGGTCGCTAAATACTCCGTGTCCAGATCTCTCCATCTCTGACGTGGAAGGTGATAACACGGACCTCACTGGGCCGTTGTGAGGATTCATGAATTCCCACGTATAAACTGCTCCATAAACAAAGGTGGTGTGTTACACCCTGGCATGCCCCCCACTAGGTGGTTCCAGGAGACTCTGGCATGTTCAGAGGGAATTGTGCTGTGTAAATTGTTAGAACGAAGGATGAACCAAAGCGTCTGTATTCATTCTCACTTCCCTTGACTTCCATGAACAAAACCTGCCTCAACCAAGGGCTAGCAGGAGGAAAACAAGAAGGAAAAATCCTAGTTTCAAACCGGCCTAAAACCTTATGAAAAATTTCTCACTTAGAAAGAGTGTTTATAACTGCAATTAAAAGTTAAGTTGGAAGAGCTAAAAATTGCAAAGGATACCATCGCTTTAGATGTCTATGCATGGATAGTGTAGAACCAGTCCCTTCTGGACCGGATTTCACTGACTGGAGGCATCGGGAAGGGATTCTGCTACCTCATGGACATTTCAATGGGCAGAGGATCCTGGGGAATATTTATTCTGTGTATGCTGTGGTTCTGAGTCATTTCTAAATCACTTACTATAGTTGTGACTCCTTGGAATGAGGTTTTATGATGTCTTTCTTATATGTTGCTGATCATTTCCAATGCCAGACTTCTTAGGTTACAGTGACCTAATGAGTCGCATTAATTGAGCCCATTTTTCCTGTTCCAGCCCAGGATGTCAAACCGCTACTGGACTTTGGCCGAGGCCACCTGGCCAGCAGCAGCACTGCTCCTTGGTCTTTCTTTAGGACACGGCTTTGCAATTTAAGGCACACCCTCTACTGTAAAACCTGTTCTATGTTAGGATCCAAGTGTACACATCTCATGAAGTAATATTTGCCCTTATTGTTTGTACTTCACTCTGGTATTTTCTGTCCTATTCTCTCAAACTTTTCCTTTTTAACATATTGGTTAAGACTCTTGATTGGGTCATGACCCACAGTGTGAAAATGTATCTCTAGAAACTGGAGCACAAGGTAGGTTGTGGCTGGGACTAAGTGAGGCAGAGTCATCGGGAGCGTTCTCAGTATTCTGGGTAGCAGTGTCCAAAGCACATTCTCTCTGTGGGTTATCTGAGGATGTGTTTACTGATTTTAGAGGGGAAGAGAGAAAAAGAATTGCCTCCCATACACACCCTGACCAGAGATCAGACGCACAGCCTAGGTGTGTGTCCTGATGGGAATCAAACCCCCAACTGTTCAGTGTACGGGCTGACGCTCCAGCCAGCTGAGCTGCCCAGCCAGGGCACCGTGGATTACTTCTTTAAAGTTTCCCTGATGAAACATCTCTGGGGAGTTCTAAGTCAATCAACTTAAATAGGTTCTTTACTGAAAGGCTTTTCGGAGCATTTAAAATAAGCAATGGATGGCAAACTGGTTACATCAAATTATTTGGGGAGCGTTTAAAAATAACAGATTAGTTTACCTTAACCTGACGTCCTGAATCGGCATCTCCAGGAGCGGAGTGGGGCACTGTGTACGAAAGCCCAATAAAACATGCCCAGGCGCCCCTGGTGTGCTGCTGGGTTTGGGAGCCCTGCACACCGTCTATCCTAAAGGGAGATCACACAGAGCGTCTTCCTTTATTCTTTGGACTTGCAAACCCCTCTAAGATCCCTTCAACTAGTGATCTCTGAAACATATTTTGGGTGGTGTTTCTTGGTAGCATTTCTCTAAACAGTGTCCCACTGCTTGTGAGAAAGCAGACAAGATGTATTTATTATCCTAAAATCATCCCCCCCCAATTCCATAGCAGGGACAATCCATTTTTTGCCTTTGGCAATTCTGACCCAAAATAATGGTGATCAAGGGTTTATCAGAAGCTAACAAAATCAAATTCATGAATTACTTTGTTCTATTATTGATACATTTCTATATCTCTGTGGCTGTATATCTTAAAATTTCAAGTCCAAATATTGCCATTAATATTAACCAACATTAATGTTGGCTAAACTTGTTTCAGTCTCATAAAATAACGTGGAAGCTGAATATACCTCTGGAAACTCAAAACACAGGATTCCTCATTAACTGATAGTGTTGATACTCTTGAGAGCAGAACCTGCTTTTAATTAGCCAATAAAAGCATTGATTGTAGAGGTAGAAACAATCCTAGTTAAGATGTTTTCTAATTATTTAGTTCTTTATTGTTTAAGATTTCATCTGTTCATTTTCAGAGAGAAGGGAAGGGAGGGAGAAAGAAGGAGAGAAACATCAATGTGTGGTTGCCTCTTGTGCACCCCCGACTGGGGACCTGGCCCGCAACCCAGGCCTGTGCCCTGACTTGGAATTGATCCAGTGACCCTTTGCTTCGCAAGCCAGCATTTATTCCACTGGGCCACACCAGCCAGGGCTAATTGTTTAGTTCTTTGTCTACATGCACAAGCACTCCCACCACCTGAATATCCCTTTTCTTTTTCTAAAGGACAACTGTGAATGCCCAGGTGGCTCTCCGTGGTGCCTGGGGTTATCCAGAGGTGCTGTCCAGTGTGGAGTCAGCACTCTGGATGAATTTGGTCCATGGGTAAAAGTGGATAATTCAGCAGGCTCATGTTACTGTGACAACTCTTGTTTTAGGGGACTGCAAGGGAGAGATAGCAATAGCACCTTATAAAAATGTCACCAAATGTTTCTGTTTGTATGGGCGTGGGTATATATTTTCTTAAGTTGTGTTACCAAAGGTAATATTTCTGTAAATATGTTGGTTCTGACTTAGGGATAAAGCTGATTCATGGCATTCGATTTAAAATATTGGGCTCTAAATTCTGTAGACAGTCAGGAGGAGGATGGGATTTAAAATAAAAATAAAACTCCTCTCTGTTCTATTTATATGTGGTAATACAATGTTAAAAGTAGCACCTTTGTGGAACATCTTTAGATATACTATTGTCTCTTTAGATGGGTTACTGAGTCCGTTTTCTAAACTGGAGACTGGAGGGAGATGAGTGGGGAGAGGGTCACATTTGTTAAGCACTGAATGCTTTAGTCACGATGCCCTATTGAATTCCCACGATCATATCCCTGGAAGGTAAGTGCTGTTGTATCCACAACAGGGAGCGTTGAGGCTCAGAGGCTGTGCCCTTGCCCAGATCAGTCAGTAAGTCACTGTGGCCAGAATCCAAAATGATCTGTCTGGCTCTAGTACCTCTACATTTCTGTCCCCACACGACACCACTTCCATCTTCTAAAACTCTTTATCATGTCTTTGGTGTCTACCTGGTGTGCTGATCCAGAAAATATCAGCCAGCCCAGCCCACCTTTCCCTGTATGCATATGTGTACAGTAAAACGTGGCCAGTAGACACGGCCCGTTCGTGCTGCACTGTGCTTATTGAGTCAGCTCTGGTTCTTGGTGCACTTTCTTTCTGATCACCACGTAACTAAAAAGAAGACAGTGCCGTTTTATGTGCCTTTAAAAGGGTAAGTGGCAGCCTTGTCTACTTTTTGGAAGAAAGTGGGTAGAAAGTCTATGAACAGAAATTTCATATGCAGTTTCAATGACACTGTCTTTGTGACTTTTGCATAGCCTTCAGGAGACATATGAAGCAAAAAGGAATGAATTTCTGGGAGAACTTCAGAAGAAAGAAGAAGAAATGAGACAAATGTTTGTTATGAGAGTGAAGGAAAAAGAAGCTGAACTTAAAGAGGCAGAGAAAGAGGTAAGGCATCTGTCCTTTATCAAGGGAGAGAAATAAGCAAGGTGTTTTATTAATACTTCACATTTTATGAGACTTCATGCTGTTCTAAGTGCCTTTGACATACATTTTATCACACGCATGGCATGCTAACCTAGCGAGAAAAGTAGATCAGATATTCTTCTCCCCCACTTTACAGATGATAAAACTGAGAGTCACAGAGGTTAAGCAATTCATGCAGTCATATACCTCATTAGCACAGCTGAAACTGAAATGAGATCTTAGGTCTCCAGACCTGGCCCCATTTTCTTTGCACCTCTCTGTTTCCTCAGTATACAAGTCTGAAATGTGAGATTTCAGATTCTGGGACTATGATTATTGTCTCAGTCTATCAGCCACTTAACTCAGTGAGCTGAACAGTGGGTGGCCCGTCAGCACTGACAGGGGATGGTCTCTGTACGCTGTGCCTGTGCTCACGCCCCTTTGTGGGCCTCACTCTCTCCTCCAGCTCCCCTTCGACTCCCTCACATTCCTGATGCCCGGGCCCAGTGAACTGCTTCCTAGAAGTTCGCATGGATTTCTGCTGTAACACTCATCCCATTCAGAGAGAGAGTGTGTAATAGGCTTGCCTCTGATGACAATGAGTATTTCGAGTGCTTGACCTATAACTCAATACATTTACAAATGATATGGTCTAAATAATTTTCTCACCATCCCTTTTTAACTTATCTTCATAAAGATAACTGAAACTTAGAGATTATTTAAATAGAAAGCAATCAACAGTTTTGCTCCAGAGAAAGGAAAATTGAGCCTTATTTGCAGTTGTCTTTAAGTACCAAGTGGATGCTAGGTAAAAATCCAGAATTACCTAGCAAGAATATTTTCCTTTCTCCCTTTCAGTTTTTGTTTCTGCATTGTGGTAATTTTTGAAATTCAATTTGTCAAGAGCCAGAAATTTCTCAACATACTCATCTGTAGTCACTGTATATGTCTCTAAGTAAATGCATGGTATACATTATATAAAGAACAACTCTTACCACATGGACAAATTTCTTATCTCGGACATGGACAATTTTTATTTTCTTCTTTATGCTTTTTACAATGAAATATATTTTATTATCAGAAAAGGCGTGCAGGGGTTCCCTTTAGCTCCACAGGGTCCAGGTGTCAAAAGAGAGCAGGGCTCCAGGGGATGCTTTTCCCTTCCCGGCTTGGCCCTTCTGGAGCTCCAGACGCTCGCTGCTCACCCCTGTGGTTAAAGCGCGTGCAGTCCCACGGTGCAGCCTGTGTTTGATCAGATCCAGATAACCTCGTACTGAGAAACTCTTCATTCCCTTCACCACGCCCGTTCTCTTCTTTTCCTCCCCAGCTCCACGAGAAGTTTGACCTCCTAAAGCGGACACACCAAGAAGAGAAGAAGAAAGTGGAAGACAAGAAGAAGGAGCTGGAGGAGGAGGTGAACAATTTCCAGAAGAAGAAAGCAGCTGCTCAGTTGCTACAGACCCAGGCCCAGCAGTCTGGGGCCCAGCAAACCAAGAAAGACAAGGATAAGAAAAAGTAAGCAGGTGTCACCCCATGTACTGGGGCCTCTAACAATTGATTCCTCTTGCATGTCTCCACTTCTCCCATTTGCAGACTGGAAACTGGTCTGCTACCAGAAAGATAAAAGCAAGTATTTTCTCTACAGTGCAGGGAAGACGGTAAAGGTTTTTAAAGTATTTCTAAAGGGTACACAAACATTAACTTATAAAACTTGACCACAAGGTCAGGCAGTCAGGACTGGAGTAACCTTTCGTCCCCAGTAGCGTCTTCTGCACCAACACTAGGACTTTTGAGAAGATGGTTTATTTCTGTACATTACTCTGTGGAGGCAATCCTGATGACTCCTGGTAAAGAACATCCTAAAATTATGGTTGTTAAAATTATTTTTCTATTCTGCATTGTAAGGCTTGACAAACCAGTTGTTGTTCCCCAGAGGAAAGATTTGGAAGAACTGCTAGCGGCCACTAGTTTTCCTCTAAACTCAGCAAGATGAACTGTTTTATTGTGAAAATGGGCTTGCAGTCCCATCCAGTTAGGACACCCCCCACAGCCCTGAAGACACGCCCATACCCACACATGCAAACCACTTTTAAATATGGCTTTGATGTAAGGTGCCAAAGGGTCAGATTCTGCTCTCGTGGGGGCCCCCTCCTATGGTACTCCAACGACAGCTGCCTGAATCCAGTGGGAGATCCGGGCCTCCCTTGACGTTCTCTGGTGATTTGAAGCTGTCTGTCAAATCACCTTGAACACCAGAGGGTGCAGTTTTGTGACTGTTGATATCCATGTGACAGGAAGCACAGTGGTTAGGCAGATGCCTTGAGGGGAAAGCTGTGTGGCGGCGGGATGGCCAGCCTGTGCACACTCTCCTCACGCGGCCTGGGCGTGCTCCAAGGGCAGCCTACAACAGCTCAGACCGTGCTCAGGATCCTTCTCGTCATCCTGAGGTGCTAACATCCTGGGGGAAAAGCTGGCAAAAGTAACCAGTAAAAATGCTGGTACTCGAGCAGGCCAAGGCACATTTGAAAACACATGTATAGAAGACAGGGCTGAGTCTGCACGGTAACTGAGACCTGCCATTGGGATTGTTTGCTCAGTCTCGGTGAGCAAGCAGGCTCACCCCAGAGGAATCTGGTTACGTTGCCTGTGGTAGAAATCAAAATACACTGCTGCAGTGGCACATGGAGAGTGTTAAATTACACTTTACAAACTCTACAAGCTCTGAGACAGCAGAAAATATGTCAAGAGAGCCAAGGAGCAAGCACATTTTCTAAGCAATAGAAAGTAGTTGGTGTAGGTGAGGTGTCATTTTAATGGGGCTGGTACAGACCCAAGTGCTGAAAAGACTCCAGGGGCCGAGCATTTCGTTGTGTTAGATGGAGTTCTGAGAGCAGCAGTTGCTTAGCTTACAACCTGGTTCAAGGAAGCGCTTCGCAGCTGCGCACACCACAGAGCCCAGCACTCGGGCTGACATTCCCCACCCAGAGACTCGGAGGAACAACGCCTCTTGTGGCGAAGACAAGCCTAAAGCCTTTTGGCATCATACCCTTGTTCATCCAAACTAACCCAAGATAAAAATAGGTGTAGTGTGTGTGTGTGTGTGTGTGTGTGTGTACATCTACGGCATGAATGAATGAAACAGAAAAAGCTGCTGACTCATAGCTTAGGAAACCCAAAGTGAGGTTTTCTCATCCTGAAGCACTAACGTACATAAAGGTATATTTTAGAACCAAAAATGTTTATAAAAGACCAGCAGTGTTCTAAGGATATTTCATGTATACTGGATGTGCCTTTAAGCAATAAAAATGCCAAGAGCTGATCAGTATTGTGCCTCCATTAAAAAAGTGTGTCTAGTACCAGACCTGCCAGTGTAGGGAGGTGTTGCCTTGCCTTGTGGAACATTTTGGGTGATTTTTCTTCCCAGCCTTGGACCTTAGCAATGTGTCATGCTTTTCAAGTTATGTGAAGTAAGTGTGAGTTATATTTCAGCCTTATTTATATGTTCTCATTTATTATTAATGGAATTAGACTTAATTTGGTGCACAATAGTCACCAGGCTTTGTGCCTGACAATGGCATGTATTTTTTGGTAACTTCTGGGTTCCTACCCTTTTCTGCATGTTACCATTTGAACAGTTAAACTGCCGGTTGGAGTCCTGAAGTGTGAAAGTAAAAAAAAAAAAAATCAAATAGAAAAAGCACCACGCCCCTTCTTGCCAGTGGAGAGTTTCGGTTAGAGAGGACCATGGAAAGACAGTAACCAGGGCAACCAGAGCCACACTTTGAAAATAAATGGGAGACTCTCCCCTCCTCAGGCAGCCACAGTTGATGCTGGAGTCGCCATACATGCCACTTAGGAGCTGGCTTTGTTCCAGGGAGAAACATGAAAAGATGCTTATTTATCCACCGGCTGGGTGTCCACCTCAGAGCCTAACTTAGTTTTTCTAGTAGTTCTAAATTCTGTGTTTTCTATTTTAATGACATGCTCCCTTTTTAACATAGGTAAGGCTTTATACCTCTCCTTGACCTGTAGTGGCATGAGATCATATAACATTTCCTAAGATTACAGACAAAGTAGAACTAACCCTGGCACTGCCATTAGCTGGACCCCACCTCCTGCCTTCTCTAACCACCGAGGTGCTTCCCTCGTCTGCGGCTGCACCGCAGTGGTGGGACTGCCCGTGGGTAAGTTGTTCAGTGGACAGTGTTCCTCTTTCCTGAAAGCTTTGCACCATTGCTGGCAGGCATTTGCTGGTTAAGATACATCCATCCCAAAAAAAAGTTTTAAAATGCATCATGTTAAAACTGTACCGGGCATCTGATAACTAGAGCTTACACAAATCATCCATTCATCTTTTTTGTTGTTGTTATTGTTTTTAATTGATTCTTGCTAAGGAGCGAAGTTGCATGTTTTGGACTTGCCTGGTTAGACATGCGGGTCTAGGACTGGGCGGCACTTTGGACCTACGAGAGCGGGTGGCTCCTGGTGTGGCTGTCACCGAACCCACGTAATGATTGTCCCTTTTTTCCTTCCTAAGTAGATTAATAGCATGTCCTCCACCCACCGTATTCCGAGCTCCAAGTTAATTGTTCAAAGTCATTACAGCACATTTATTCTCTTACTTCAGCTCAGAAATGGAAGATGCAACTACTATTCAGTACAGATATGATGCCCAAATCTAACCTAATAGATAATGGTTTTGTGTAATTGGAGAAAATGAAAAAGCAATAAATGTCCACTAGAACATGTAGCGGTTTCAAGAAGTTACTTGTGAATTCGAAATTACGTGCAAGTGGAAACTAACCATGTGGTCTTTAATTCAGTATTAAAATGTTGCTTTTGCTTGTCAAGTAGAATAGCTTACTCAAATTTTTGGTTTTGATTTCTGTCAATTCCATAATCATTGCATGAGCATTCACCATCACCGAATGCTGGTGCTGGCGCTCCTAATTTTCCTTTCCTTTTTATTTATTATTATTTCTAACTTTTTTGTTTTGTTTTTTAACTTGCAGTGCAAGCTTCACATAAAGCCTGGCAAGCCAAGGATGGTCCCGCATTCACCTGCTTTTGCAGTAATATTGTATCTCTGCCATCTGTGTCCTTTTTTATTTTTTATTTTTATTTTTTTACCTTTCCCCAGACACCAATAACAAGGGAATAACAGCAAAAGCTCTATGCAGCTGAACTTTGTTTCTGGGAAGGAAATGATTTGCCTTTCATGCCTGTTCTGAGTGGCAGCAGGAAGCATGCCTGTTACTTGTGTGTTGCTTTGGACTGAGGGAAGGAGGGTAAATTGCTCCATGTACATCTGACAGGAAAACTCACCACCTCAGCAGCTGAACTATAAACCTGAATAGCCATGACAACTCACTTTTCCTAATTATTGGTGGCAAAGGTCCTGAACTCACTGTTTCTTCTCCTCACCTACCCAAACCCAAGATAGCTTTGCACATAGGCAGACAAGTGGGTAAGCTTCATATGACTTTTAAACTTGCATGGACTGCTCATTATTATAATATTATTTGGTCTGGGTTGTGAGTCTCTTCAGACTGGCTGTCTGCTTATGGCTTTACAAATGCGTCTGAACCCCTGTCTCTCAAATTCTGGCTGAGTCGAACTGTAATAAAACTATAATATCTGAGAGAGGATCCAGGTTCAACTGAAAAAAGCAAACACAGTCATAGTTTTGTAATCAGCAGTCTCAAAAGCTGGGTAACACAGCATTGCTTGGCAGAGGAGTCTGCGAGGGGTGACGGGCTCTGCACACACTCCTCACTTCTTACAGTTAGCACGCTTTCCCGGACACACCAGGACTCACTCTCGGTGGGCTGAGAGGGAGGACCTAACGACCGATGCCAGGATGTCGGTGCTTCCAGTAACATTTTTCAATAATCATGAGAATAAAATTTTCAGAGATCCTTCAAAACAATGTGTTGTAAATGATGTGTCACCTGCAGTGCAGATTTGAGGGGACCTTGTCAGTTTCAAGTAGGAATGGGAAGCAGTACCACACAAACCCAAGTCACAGAAAGGAGAAATTCAGCTTCACATCCAGGCTCCTTTGCATGGTGTCCTTTTGGTATTTGGCAAGAAAGGGAAGAAAAAAAATAGAACAGCTGGCCTTTCAAATCCAGCTGTGGTGAAGGAACTTCCTCACCTTTCTCCTCGCAGCCAGCTCACTCGCCTCCTCTTTACGTTCATGGCCCGTCACCCCAACTTTGTGTGGCAAAGGGCATATGTAATCCCTTTTCTGTACTGTTCCTTTATAAGGCTTATCCTTTCATCTTCTTGAATTTTTTCCCCTCTGATAACAAGATCCTACTAGCTGTCCCTCTGCCTCTATCGTCTCCTGTTTCTTACTTGAAAGAATAACATTTTTTTGAGCGCGGGCTGGGAACCAAAGTGTCCCAGGTTCGATTCCCAGCCAGGGTACATTCGTGGGTTGCAGGCCATAACCCCCAGCAACCACACATTGATGTTTCTCTCTCTCTCTCTCTCTCTCTCTCTCTCTCTCTCTCTCTCTCTCTCTCTCTCTCTCTCTCTCTCTCTCCCTTCCCTCCCTAAAAATAAAATAAATAAATAAAATCTTAAAAAAAAAAAAGAATAACATTTTTTATAAGCCTGATACTTTATTCTGCCGTTTCCTTCTGGACTCATTACGCATATATAAAGTGAATAGGACAGAATACCCTGTACTTCTCTTGACACACAGACACACTTTTAAAAAAAATTAGTGAGCCTCTAGTTGATTCCAATCCATAAAAATTATCTTTTCCTTCTCTTGGTCCTCAACCATACTGTTAGGGCAAAGAAGGGATGGTCTCCCATGAACTGATTTGGGCTTAAGTAGGCAAAGTAAGAAGTCAGTTTCATTGAAGCCCAGACTGAGCTGGGTCAGAAACTGCACGCTAGGAGCAGCAATGGTGGTGGAGAGACAGGTTTGACAGGGATCGGGCCAAGGGTTTTATTTTTGCTTTCGTGTTTTTAATGATTCTAGTGTGATGCCAGCTGTGGAGCAGCCAAATATTAGATGGCATGCTGAGTCTAACCGTGGGCTGAATTTGCTCGTACGCTCGCACCAGACAGAACTTGAATGCTTTTGTTGTGTGCCGTTTCCACCGCCGCTCATGTGACCATTTTTGTGCTTTGTACATTCTAAAAATGCATCACTTAAAATCATTTTTAATGTATCACTAAAACCTCTTTAAAGTGAGCCTAACTGTGAAAGGCATCCAGCTGACTTTGATTCCAAGATTATTGATTCATTTTTTTCCCATGAAGTTTTTTCACAGTAAAATAAATCAGATGGAGAGTCAGGGAATAAAAAGTCAAAAGAAAGATGTAGACTAGAGAGCTTTTTATTTTAATGCGTTGCTTCTGAACTTTTTTCTCCCCCTGCTCCCGGCCCTGTTTAGTTTGTTATTGCTGTCCTTCTTTCCTTTCTGTATCTGTGCCTTTTTTCACAGTAGTCCTTGGCTCTGCACGGAATAAATGATACCCTCAAATCTAATTGGATGTGCTTTCGCCTTTGCATGTAAGTACGGTAGTAAGAAACCTTTGAGATTTTTCTGACTTTAAAATAAGAGAAACATATGGGATAGATGGATTTTTTTTTCTTTTTAGAATGGGGTAGGGAGGTAATGGTTTGAGTATCTTTTGGTTTAAAAAGAAAAACTAAATATATTTAAAGTGGCCACATTTATACATTTATATCCTTTCCACAAGAAACACATAAATTCAGCATTTCCTTGATATCAGTATGGAAGTCAGAAATCACTGGTCCCAGTCTGTGTCATATACACAGTATCGTGAGTGTCACTGGATACTACAGAGGGTCTTTGGTTCTGACTATGCAAATAAAGCTGGAATGAGGAATGGAGAAAATGGAGAAGAAAAGATGTTTATGCTAGGCTACCCCTGTGACCGCTTCATTTTTTGTGATCTTGCTTCAGTGGCCTTGTCCTTGTGCTGACTGCCAGCAGTGATCACCTTTTTTTTAAAAGCCAGACAGCTCTAAAAATCTTTTGTTCAACCATAGTGGCCCACTTTTTGCTTCTCCTGGACTTAAAATACATGTAATAGGTGTACGTGCAGAAGGGTATGATGGAGAGACATTTATGAGAATTTATTGGAAGTTCAGAAGTTACGTTTTCCAACTTGGGCTCTTTATTAGCGGGTCACGGTTTTGTCCAGAAAGGGCATCTTAGCCAGGGGTACATTTAACATAAAGCTGGGCACAGGTTACTTATCTTCCTTCTCTGCTTTGTAATCTCACCAGCAATAAAAATAACTTATTCTTCATATCTTGTGCACCTCAAACAAATCGACTTGGTTTCCTCACTTGCTTGACATATCCGTAAGTGTTTCACATACAAACCGTTCAGTCAGGTTTCCGGCTGTCACCAACCCATGCCGTACTGTCTCCGTGTGGTCCAACCAGAACGTCCATTCAGACCCCTTCACTCTTCCATTTGCAAGTGTTTGAAATTGTCAAGTCTTGGTTCCATTGACAGAATACATATGTGATGACTCTTTAGTGGAAATGACCTACAAAGTCTAGATTGTATGTAGGTATGAAGGCAATTTTTTTTTAATAAATTGAAAATTAAGCTGTGAACAGCATTAGAACTTTGTCTATTTCTTAATTTTAAAATATGCTGATATGCCTTAAACTGTAGCTGTAGATCACTGTCATTTTGCTGTTTGAAAATAACCAATGTGTTTCTAAAACTGTTGTGTAATCTACTTTGTGTTAATGCAAAATTGTCATATATGTAAGCTGCATGTTAGACTTGTCTTTTCTTAAAAAACTAAAATAATTGTACTGATGCAAAGCATATCATTTTTTTCAAGTATGAAAGTATCACTTAGCAAACATGTTCAGTAATTTGGGGTCTGTTAAGGTAGGAGACTGATGGACAGGTAATCTATGCATAATTCACTAGTGCCAAGACATAAGTGGGGGGAAATATATTTTTTACCCAAACATTGTGTGCCCTTTTGTGAGTTCTTTTAGTCCCTCTTTGATATGCATATGTACCCATGCTAATTATATTGGATAAAAGAAATAGGGGAGAGTCTCATGCTTTCCTGCCTTGTCTGGTGGACTTCAAATGCTACCCTCTGGGCTAGGATTTCTCCCAGATAACACGTGGTGTCCTGTGCTTCACATACCATCTCTGCCACCTTTCTCCCCCATTCCCATACCCTCCTGTCCCGAGGAGTGTCCCTGGAACCCCACTGCCCCTGGACCCAGCTGAGGCATCCTTTTCTTCCCTTGCCTTTGCTGCCAACGCCGCTGCTGATGCTCAAACCCGTGCTCAGAGGAAGTCATCCCGTTAACTGCCACGCTGCTGTTCTTTCACAGTTCGTTAGAGAGGAGCTCTTTATTATAAGCTAAAGGATTACATTTGAATCTGAACCTTTCTTTTTTCTCTTCTGTAGCTTCTTCTTTATGTAACCATCCTGTTGACAAGCCCTACTCTCTCCTAATGGACATAGAGCATTAGAAGAGCAGGAGCTGTCTGTTCACACGTGTTGGGGAAGAGTTACCTCATTTCCACCATCGCCTCCTTTTCTTTTAAAGTCTGGCTCAAATATTTCACTGCTGTTTGTATTTGTCAATGTCTGTTTACAAACCACTGCCCACAGTGGTTACTAAAGTGACTTGTCACTACCAAAAACAGTTATACTGAAAAAGAAATTGAGTAAAAGAGAGAACTGGGGCCAAGACCCAAGGTAGCCATGTGCGGGGATCCTCTTGCTTAGCTGTCATGTTCTTGAAGCTGCTACCCAGGAGCTCACGGACTGAAGACAGCACGTACCCTAATCCGAGGTGGCCATCACCTTCAGGGTTCACAAACTTGATCTCATGTTAACTCCAGACCTCTCTGCCCATGAATGACATTCTGAACAACCCCATCAGGACTCACAACCATCAATCAGGTCATAAAATCTGGGCAACATTTTCCTTCCTTTTGTTAGTTTTATGGGTTGTTTTGTTGGAGTTTGGGTTTTTTTTCTTAAACATTTGGTATTGCATGAACAGAGATGCTGCATCTTTTTTTTTTTTTGGCGTGTTCTATTGATACAATGTTTTTATTTTTCAGCTGACCATCTGCCTCTTGAGAGAGAGAAGTGGGCATCCTTCCTTAAATTCAGGAACCACTGTTGCTTTATTTGACTCTTTTTCTGTTACCTGCATCCCTTACATAAGTTGTTTTGATTTGGGGTTCTGCTTTGGGGGGGGGGGACTTCCAGTTAGCCAATTCTGTTTTATGTATTGGTTATTCAAACTTAAGTTTTGGTATCAAAATTAAGCCATTTTTAAGCTCAAGGCGAAATTTGAGTGAACTCACAGAATTCTGTTTAAAATGTTTTCATCTCAAGACACATCAACAAGAACAAAAAAACCCTTTACTGTCACTGAGGTTTTGACTTACAAATCTTAATCATGTTTAAAATGTGCCAGTACTGGGTAGATGACTTTTCTGCCTCTGGGACTCAATTTATATTTAAAGGTACCTTGAAATAACTTTCTGGTCCATCTCGCCTTTTTATTTATTGTGAAGCTCAGCTTTACCTTGTGTCCAGAGTTGGGTTTTGGACCATGGGAAATGAACCCTGAACAAATACATATCCTGTCCCAGACAGCAGCGTCATTAGCAGCAGATCAGAATCCAGTCTTCTCCGAATTACCCAGGTGGGTTTCTATGTCTGAAAAAAATATCCGCAGGGACTTACACCCATATCTACACACGCACACAGCTCTGCCAGTCGAGTCTCTGATTTCTCATCCCATTTGTGACAGGCTAGATTGCTTTATTAGCAGTCACTTCTTCGGGGCAGTTTTTATAGTCAAGGGACAGTTTTCAAATTTATTTGTATGTTGGAGCATCAGCATACATTTGAAGCTGCCTTTTATTACTTGTCGACAGTTCTTGCTTATTTCCATCAGTTTTTCAGTCCCATATTAGGTAGACCACAAAAACACTCCTGGCGGCATCTGCTGCATGTGATGCAGATCCTTTGGAGTGTCCTCTGTATTTAAGAATGGTAATGTAGGCTTCTGTTGAAAGGTGAAATAAAGGAACAGTCCCTGCCTCTCGAACCATCCAATTCTTGGAAAGAAGTTAGGGCAATTGGATGAGCATGCTGGCAAGAGTCTGTCTTTACTTAGATTAAATGATGGAGTTATGGGTCAAGAGTCGTCCCCTCCAGGATAATCTGTAAGGAGAGAAATTGCTAGTGACCAGTAGTTGGAGGGGGTGGATGGGTGGGTGCCCACTCCCTACCTGACACCAGAACATGACAAATTAACATACCAATTATATATTAAACATTATGTTGTGAAACTGCTGCAGTCATTAAGTACAAAACTTATTCCTTATTTTAAATATTTTAATATCTTTACGCAAGAACTCATTTTAAAAACAAATTCTGCATTGGGTTATAGATGTTTTCTGAACAATATTTAAAAATCAAATTAGGCATGGTTATTTAACATAGAGAAATGTGTATTCTGTTGTTCCTATTCCTTCTTTCCCTTAATTTAGTGCCCAGGTTAAAGGAAGTATAATGGTAATAATTTTAATGGGAGCGGGGAGCAAGCTCTAAGTAGGCTGGCAGTCATGTAGGGAAAGCTGGTCACAAACACATACCACTGGTCAAATGAATTGTCATCTCTTGATCTGGCATTTTACTTCAACAGGTTCCTTTTCTCAAGTGCTGATAACACTCATAGGTTTTCAAGGTCTGGCTGACTATGAAACCATCCAGGGCTAATCATCTTCAATAATAAAAAATCACTTATTCCACTCTAGACAAGAAAAGCAAGAATTGAGCCATCTGAACCTATTTCCACTGGTATCAGTCAATAAGCTTTTTATTTTCCACTCAAGCTCTTGAAAAATATTACTTGATTTCAGATACAGACTCTGCCGTATTGTTGTTACACATGTAGTCTAGACAGTCTGCTTGAGATGGCCACAGTACTTACACAAGAGAGATCTGATTTTCTGAATTAGTATGTGCTGAGGTGGGGTGGATAAAATTAGCTCATCTTCCTAATAAGTTGGCCAAACTTTCCCATCAACTGTACCTATCAAATGAACTTTCTTCTTAGTTTAGTTTTTGGGGGATTTTCCCCTACTTTTGGCCCAACTTATGGGTAAACAGTTCCAGTATCTGAAAAACTAATAACATTTCTACACAAAGCCTTTCAGTTTTGCAAATGACTTGTCATCTTCCTGCCTAGAGACCACAGGGTATGGCTCGCTTTGAATATCCTGATACTTGAATTCTTAAGACCACAATATTTAGTCCTTGTGATTGATACCACCTGACTTTCAGAACAATCTAGCAGGCACTGGCACCTCCACTACTGGTGAAGGGATAGAAATGTGTTCATTTGAAGATTAAGTATGAGTCTAGGTATCCACTCACCTCCCTTTCCAACAAGTAGCTTTCTATAAGTGAGATCTTTTAGTTGCCAATGGAACACCCAGGTGCAGCACAAACGATTTTACATCTGGCTCAAAAGCAGTTACATACTTGCAGTGCTGTAAGTTGAATACCATTTCAGTTCACTGTGAAAACTTCCCCTTCAAAATTATGGCATCTTGATAGATCAGAGGAGGCTAGAGGCTATTTTATAACAAGGTTGGTCCCTGTCCCACAAAATAAGTGTGAATGGGGGAAGGATGCAGAACATTCCATAAAGAGCTTGGCTCAACCACACATTCTGCACAATGTTTTTAGACCTCTGGAGCTGTAGTTCTAACTCCTTGCCCTTTATTCATATCCAACCATCCACCTTTCCCACACCCTCCCTCTTACCACACACTTTATATTCTATATACAGCACCAGGCCTATGTTGCTGAGGATATAGTCAGAAACTATGAGTGGCACTTCTATTCTGTAAGCAAACTTCTCGACTACAAAGGTAAGCCCTTTCTATGCTGAACTGCAGGAGTGATTGTAGTCTGAAGAGCAAAAGCACCCTTCCCTCATTGCTTTTCAGTGGTTGCTTGTTTGAAGTCGCCCCTTCATTCTGCATTGTCCTCTTGCCCAATAAACTAAGCTTTCTGATAAATGAGAAACCAGTGCACTAGGTCTATGCTCTTCTACTCCCCCACTGTTGTGTAACACAATACGGTCTACAATTCTGGCATTTTGTCTGCTCTTGACAGTTGGAGAGTCAAGAGAAAGGGAGAGGTTCTCATTTCATCCTTGACTCAGTTCCTGGGAGCTAAAAAACTAGAATTGTGAGCTCTTCTCAAATTTCCCTATCCAGTAAAGTCATTCTTAGTCACCTCTTACTACACCTTTTCAATAATCCAGAGATGTCAAAAGGAAGAGTATGTTTCTGTCCTACACCTGGGTCTTAGTAGGTCACAAAAACTACTAACCTCAATATAGTGAGGGAAAGCTTTTGTTTCAGTTCCTTGATGTAAACTGTGCTACAAAATCCTGCACTTCATTTTTTGATCTAATGATTGGTCAAACCCAACTCAAACTGAAAGCAAAGGTTTAATCTGTATAACTTTTTTTTTTCTTTTGGTATAAGACATGTCAAGCCACCATCACCCCATATCATAGCAGATCTTCATTTTCCCTCATCACCACGTGTATAGACCTCCTGTGCTGTGACATGAACTTGTAACTGCAAATAATGTTGAATATTGCCTCGCAACAAGTGTGTTCACTCATTCCCAAACAGGAAGTCCAAACAAATGATTCTCCCAGAAACTTAAAAGATGTTTCCTTTTCCTGGAAGCACCATCTAGTGGTCAAAGCTTGTAACAGTAACAGGTGTGGGAAACATTCTATTAACATAGTTTAAAGGCTCATTTCAAGATTTTTGAAGGCTTTAGAAGTAACGATTACATGTTAGACAAAACTTCATGATATCAAATGTAAAGACTACAGGTTTGGGGAGAGTCAGAATTTGAACCTTGCTGGAAAGTCTTAGCTATATGGCATTG